GCGGCTGGAGGACAGGGGGAGAGGGGGGTGTGGGGAGGGGGGGGGGGGTTGGTGGCTGTTTGTTTGTTTTTTTAGTTCAAATGGTCAAGAGTGCTTAGGTTAATTTACGTATATGTCGATTAATCTCTTTTTTGGTTTGATCAAAGATAGGTCATTCACATCGAAATTAACATACTTATAAAAAATAAATCTAAAAAATTAATAAAATTCAAACTCGCAACATCTGAATTTATAACTAATCCGTGATAGCACTTGAACTACTTTTGGGTTGTTGGCGGCTGTTTGTTGAAGCTCACAGATAGTTTCTTGCAGAGTTGGTGAAGCCACATAGAGCCTAATTCAAAGGATCTAAAAGCTCAAAACATGGACCGGGGGTGGTTTAAGGTAATTTGAGACTTAAAGTAAAAATATTAAATGAAGTATTTTTTTTTAATTTTAAGATTATTTTTTTTTTTAAAAATGAATTTATTTTTAATTTATTATGTAAGAGAGAGATAAAAGAAAAATGTGTTAGTGTTGCCAAGAAAAATGTTTTAACTTTTGATTTTGCTTTTTATCAAAGAAAGAGAGTTTAATTTTAATTTTTTTTGCATATTTTTAGAGAGAGAGAGAGAGTAGGTAAGAGTAAATATGAGTTGACTTTTGAGTATTTTTTTATATTTTTAATTTATGATTTTTAGGTTTCTAATGTTATGAATTAGATCATAGATCTAAACTATTACAATAAAAATTTTGATTGTACTTAATTTTTTGAGTCTTTTTTTTTAGGATTTAAAATTTAATAGATTTAAATTTTTTATGAGTTAATAATGTACTTAAAATTATGAGGCCTTCTAAAAATTTAAGGTCTAAACCTCAATTTTTTTTTTTAATACTGGTGAGCCACCCCTAACATGGACTCCTAATTTCATATTTCCGAGATTAGTGTCCAAAGTTTTCGTTTATAGCTAAGTACGAAAATTAAGTGATTTATAATCTTTATTTCCATTTTGGAGAGACCGTTTCCGAACTTATAAAGTCAACTGTTGTTCGTAAAACTTGCAGTTCTACGATGATTATGTCTCCCTTCAAACGTGACTATTCTTTTTTTTTTTTTTGGGTTATGCAGGATGATAAGATTTGAACCCGTCAACAATAAGAATAGTATTCATTAAACCAACCGCTAATCTCTCCATCGTCACATACTATACTCACTAAGACTATAAAGTAATCAGCACAATCTCATATCCCATAGGCATGGACAGAGCATAGTTATAGTCTAGAGGGACTACCAGTACCCCATGATTTTTGAAAACAATGACTATTCAACCACTGTTTGAACAATGACTTCTCTCCCCTCGATGGGGGTACCCTCTGAATCGAGGACCCTCTCACATTTTTTATTTTGGGTATCTTGAATCCGTCTCTACCCACGTAAGTGTTATTTCTCTTGCTCAAAGCCCTTAGATCATTCCTCAAATTAACTAAAACTCTCTCTCTCTCTCTCTCTCTCTCTCTCATGTAATGAGATTTGTAGGATGCCTTTTGAGTGGTAGAACAAGAAAAAACATTTTGTTTCTCCCTCTGTATGCATATGCTTATCTCATTTATATCAGAAAATTGACATTGTATGTACCCTGCACCAACTTTTCTCATCAACAACATTAAAGTAGAGCTTGGGGCTGCCCCCAAACATAACCAACTATACTTGTTAACTCACAGGAGCCATGGGTGGGCCTACCACCTTAGCAGACCACCGAAATGCACATGGCAGACGTATTTCGCAACGCCGCAACTGATGTGTTAGTCAATGGTTAACACTGTAAATGAAAGAATTCAAGCGATAGTGCAGCATCGCGGAACAATATTGGGATACATGGAGTTGCAATTCGATGGCGATGACATAATCGACTCGACCGAGTTAATCAGCACATTTCTGAGTCAATTAAGAATCTAGTGAGATTCATAATTTACACAGAACGTATGAAAAGTGTTGGGTCGGATTCGACTTGACTGATTTTTTGAACAGTTGGGGGTTGTTGGTGGATGCTATAATTAAATAGCCATGTTATTAACTGCTACTGACAATAGCCATTCAGGGCACTGTTGCTTAGGGTCCATCCCATGTTGGTGATTTCAGCCTCTTACATGTAGGACTAACAGACAATGCCTTGTGCAGGACACTTTCATTGGTTCCTAACCATCAACATATAGATAACTTCCACATGCTTTCTGTGGACGTGTTTTAAGTTTGAACATCTCTGTCCCAGAGGTGGTCTTTGTAGCTTTTAGGATCACTGGATATGGTCCTCTTCATGCAAATTTAAAAGCAAAATTGTGACAGAATAACAGAAATCTCATGCATTGATAGGGCAGACATTTTTTTTGTTGTGTCTAAGTTTGCGCCGACTATTCCTTCAAGTTCAGCAGCTGGCCACCTTGTCTTGAGCTAAGTTAGAGTATGTCCCTAAAGGGATAAGGGTGACTAACTCTTAAGAGGGTGAGAAGGACAGACATTGACGCAACAATAAAATTTCTATATATTTACCTAGATATTAAAGAGTTCAACACAAAAAGAATTTCTCTGGAGACGAGTATAAGATTGTAGAAAATATATATCTTTGCTCAAAATGCTTGTCACAAACATCAAATCTAATAAAACTAAGGAAGGGTACAAGTTGATAGTTGATAACTTGATATGGACCTTTCTTTACGTGTTGTTCTCTTTTTGTCTGCTTGAAAGTTGAGTATAGTCATCTTGCACATGCATTGCTGGTTTGAATCCTTGTTGAGAGGGATGCTGAGACTTTTCAAGCTGATCGTTGAAATAATGTGCCTATTGAACCTCATTTTTCAATATTTATAAAAACATAGAGAGTCACACATCCAGGAAAATAGTAAAATTTGAGTTTGAGCATTGCCATTGCCATTAGTTGATTAAAATGAAATAATCAATGATCAAAATTTAGTTTTGAAAATAATCGAAATGACTTCCGTTTTCGAAGAGACCGAAATGAATCAATGATTGAATCAAAATTTTAATATTTTGAGGTATTTTAGAATATTTTGAAGTGTTTCCAGATGATTCAGCTTATTTCCGCTAATATTTTGGAATATTTCGAGTTGTTTAAAGATGTTTCATTATATCTCCACTAATGTTTTGAAATTTTTGATATAGTAGGAAGACACGATGTGAAAATGATATAGACTTATAGAGAAAGCCATAGAGATTGATAATACTATACTTGTTTGAAGGGCTAGGTAAATTCTTTAAGTCCACCTTCATATTATTCTCACACAAAAGAGACAAATTTGGAGATTTGGTAATAGAAGTGTAATTGATGCTAGGAAATGATGTTTTCAAATGTTCCATTTTTCTTTTCAAAAATCTAAGGAAGAAAATGCCATTCAAAGCATCTTTTATCTTCTTTTTTGTACTGCTTTTCCATTGGTCAATTCTCATTTTCTTATTGGAAAACCCATTAATATACGGGTTCTTTTTTTTTTTTTTCTGTTAACGAGCAACCTCTTTAAAGTATGATCACATTGTATTTATCTTTGCAAGAATAATCCTCTAATTACATGTAAATCAAAGATATTAATTAAGTCCGGAACATATTAAAGAGAGCCAAACTCGTTACATCTAAGTCTATGATTCATCTAAATTCAATCCCACACCGTTGGATTATTTGTACGGGTTTAATATACATTTTTTTCTTCAGGTTGGAAATCAATGTCTTGAAGATTGTGATTACGATACATGTGGATTATGAGGGACCGCAATGCCCGGCGCTTGCATGTGCTCCTAACATGGTAGGCCCCTCGTCAGACCATACCCTGATGCAGCGGTAAAGGAGATAGGAATAAATAAATAAATAAATTATAGAAGCGTGAGGAGTTCTAGAAGCTTCAAAGACGGAAATAAAGATTTAATTATATTAAAATTACTAAAAATTAAAAATTACAATTAAAGCATATTAACATAAAAAATACGTGTCGTCCGGAATTTAGAAAAGTCAACAAAAATTAAATTTGAGTTTTCTGCAATAAGTCACGAATTTTTCTATTTTTTATTCCGTAAAAATCAATAATTTGGTTGAAAAACAATGCAAGTCATGATAGAGCGATTAAAAACCCCTAAATTAAAGGGTCAAACGTTGAAAATAGGCCGAGACAACATATGTCTTGACAAAGCGATGAGCATTGATCTTTTGCTCCATCCGAATCAAACAGCCTTAACCCTGTTCCATTCCATCTTAAACGTCGGTTAACCCTAAGAAAAGGGACGGAAAATAAATTCAGATATTTTGAGTTTGAATTTTAATAATTTTTTGGGGTCAGCTTATAATAAATTTATCCCTTATGAATATCAAATTTTAACGTAAATAATTTGTCTTTGATTAAATTAAATAAAAAATTAATTAAAATACGCGTAAATTAAATCGAATCACGCTCAACCACCCGGTAACATGTTGTATATTCCCAAACTTTTTTCCAATCAAACCATTTCTTATTCTACCCGATACAACAATTAATAAAACCAATGCCACAAGACATTGGAGACTTATTTTCAAATCATTCATGCATGTACTAATATCATTGGAATCATTACAAAACCTTAATTACACATTTTTTTAACTAAACACATGTACTATACGACATTATTAACCGACAATTGATTGTGTAAATGCCTATCCTCTGTCCCCATTTTTTTACTTGTTCCTCTTTTGTGCGAGGAAAGAAAAAAGAGACAGGGTCGGTGGCTGGTACCTATGCATGATTGAAAGCTCATACTTAGTTTCTTGTAGAGTTTGTCTACCCAAATAAAGCCTAATTCAAGGGACCTCAAAGCTCTTAAATCTTTAAAAAATAGTTTAAATGGTTATAAAAACGAGCTTTAAATTTGAACTTTAAATTTAAACGTTATGAGTTGAAATTTTAACGATCTCTAAAAAACAGAGATGTGCGTAAACTAATTCTAACACTCCAAATTATCTCCCTTTTACAAAGACTAATTTCTAGCTGAGGATTACATGCATCAAAAGGAAACCAATGGTTATGTTTGTAGGTAAGTCATGTTTGGTACGTTTTTATCGTATGAACTCGAGTTCATGTCCATCAATTTACTTTGGTAGATATGACGGGTCATTAATTTTTATTAGTCGAATCAGCTAAGCTAAAACCCAGACTTAATGGCTCGTGGAGCGTGTCTAGAATTAATTACTACCTAGCAAAACCTGCAATTGGTGGGATCATGGATCATGGATCGTGTCTACAATTTTTTGGTTTATCCTCTGGACTAAGATCTACGGTCAGCAGAACTTCCAGTATTAATCTTTAATGCCAAGACAATAGTCCCCCATTCAAATAATTCAAGCTAATAAATTAGGTACGTAGCAGAGAAAAAAAATTGCATGCGCAGAGAGAGAGAGAATCAAGGAGAAGAAGAGGTTAAGAAATGCATGTGCATGTGGGGTCTATGAGCTTAGCAGTTGGTAGTTCAGTTTGAACAACTGCATGTGCATATTGATCCTTGTCTATGACCTCAAACATGACTCTGTTTTTAGTTTTTGTGGCTTTGCCTGCGCTTAGACACAAGCATTGCCCAACTTGTCACTCTCTGCTATTCACCCTAACCTCAGTTTCCATTTCCTATATAAGGCCAGACCCATTATCCTCCATTGCATCAACCTCTCAGCACTCAATCTTCTCTCTTCCAATCCTGGTCTTATACCCCTCTCTCTCTCTCTCAATGGCTATTCCAGCAATCTCCATTGCTTCTCTTCTTCTCTTGTTCTTCAATTTGTGCCTTCGAGGCACCTATGGTGACTATGGAGGGTGGGACAGTGCTCATGCTACTTTCTATGGTGGGGGCGATGCATCCGGGACAATGGGTACATAAAATGTCCTTTATCGTCGGACAAGAGTCTCATGCATTGGGTCGCTTATTTTATTTGGACATGTAGCTTCACATTCTCACGTCAATTATACTGTTTACATTGATTGACTGCCAATTAAAACCGGTATTGGTAATTGCAGGGGGTGCATGTGGGTATGGCAATTTGTACAGCCAAGGCTATGGGACCAACACTGCAGCACTAAGCACTGCTTTATTCAACAATGGCTTGAGCTGTGGATCGTGCTATGAGATGAAGTGTAATGATGACCCGAAATGGTGTCTCCCGGGCACCATTACTGTCACTGCCACAAACTTCTGCCCTCCAAACCCTTCCCAGCCTAATGACAATGGTGGCTGGTGCAATCCACCCCGCCAGCACTTTGACATGGCTGAGCCTGCATTCCTGCAAATTGCTCAATACCGAGCTGGAATTGTTCCTGTTTCCTTTCGAAGGTATGATCAAGTTTTAATGCTCTCCAATTGTATTAAAAATTTGAGTCTAATTCACTTCCAATGACATTAAAATGTATCAAAGTTTGCTTCCAGTGCTTTGAGTCACATGTTTAAAGTACTGTTGCACAATAATTTTACTGTTGAATTGATTTGCTGATATTGTTTGTGTTGGTCTTGACAGGGTGCCCTGTGTGAAGAAAGGAGGGATAAGGTTTACAATCAATGGTCACTCCTACTTCAACCTGGTCCTGATCACCAACGTCGGCGGTGCAGGGGATGTCCATTCAGTGTCCATTAAGGGGTCTAACACAGGGTGGCAACCCATGTCAAGGAACTGGGGCCAAAACTGGCAGAGCAATTCCTACCTCAATGGTCAATCTCTCTCTTTTCAGGTCACCACCAGTGATGGAAGGACTCTGACCAGCAACAATGTCGTCCCGGCCGATTGGCAATTCGGGCAAACATTTTCTGGGGGTCAATTTTAAGCTTCTAAGATAATCAGACATGGTCAAATTTGTATATGGTGTTTAAAGTTGAGGTTAAGTGCGACAAGGAGTGGCTCAGGGACTGCGGTTGGCTCTTTAGCTGTGGTGGCTAGCTAGTTAGCACCCGCTATGGCCTATATATGTGTGTGTAGAAGTGATTTACATAGAAACAATCAGATACTTAGAGTTGATATAGTCAATTCTATATAGTTAGGATAAATGTGTGTTGCGTCGGATCGAGATATTAAATTGGTAGACTTTAAATATAGGCCACTTGAATATCATATAAGGTCCGTCAATTTAACCCCCAACTTGGGGCAACTTCTTGTAACTGAAGTACCCTTTGATATATTGAAGGATTGGGGGCATTGCCTTTTCTTTATCTAATGTGTCATCTTTTTTTTTTTTTGGCTATTTCCATTTCATTGAAAAATTTACTAAACAAAATACCTAATGAGAATCTATAATGAAAAGGCAAAGTGGTTGTTTTCAAAGGTATTGTTGCCATAAAGCAATGTGGTTTCAGTGAAGTTTTAACGATTATGTAAAGTGCAAGGGCCTCCTAACCTTGGACAGCCATAAAGCATCTCTCTCCTAATAGGTGAATGAACCCATGTGCAGATGTCATCTCCATGGACCTCTGGTTGGCTAAACATGGAAGTCTATAGTTATATTAGGTCATCGCAAATGCTATGGGTGTCATGTATTGTGCTCGTAGTAGAAAACTTGTTTAGACTTTGTTCTCTTTAGGAGATTGGAAAGGTGAATGCTTGGTATTCAACTTCAAACAAAAGACCAATTAGAAATCATATTATACTAGGAAATAAAATATTTTGGATTTATAATCTACTTATTGACCACTTAGTTTCTTTTATGGAATTTTGGCCCCTAGTTTTGGGCATAAATGATTGGTTATATTCTCTTGATTAGATAATTTTGTGTAATAATCCTTTGTTGATAGTGAAACCTTACTGTTGCGATGTGCTATGCTTTGCCTGTGGACGTAGGTTTTCGAGCCGATTCATGTAAATTTGTGTTTTATATTTTTTTTTATTTCGTTTTGCTTTGTTTGTAGCATTTGTCAAAGTTACTTTTTTGGGGTGACTACAACAAAATTTCGATGTAAAAAAGATTTGGTACTCAAAATAGCTTCAGTCTATGGTGAATCTAAATATATAACATTATTGTGGTGGAATCGTTTGGCAAAATTTCTTGATGATATATTTTGATCACTAGTGGCGAAAATTATATATGTTTGTTATTGTAGAGAAGCCGACTTGTCGTATTCACTTTTGTTTTTTGATGACTTGGTGGGTACACTAGTCGAGGTGTAGATTTTTCATAGATGAATGTGGTATTTGTGTTATCCCTTTATGGGATTCAAGTAGAAGGGACCAATTTGTTTTTTTTATTTATTTATTTTTGATGATTTGATGAATTGATGAAATACAAATCAAGGTGAAGATTTATTATAAGTGTCTTGTATTCCACTTTTAGGAGGAAATTAGTTTAAAATTTGTTCTTGGGATTTGAAAATATAGATGTTTTGGAAATCCACTTCAAGTAAAAGATCAACTAAAAACTCTATTGTATTAAGAGAAAGAGACTTTTTAGTCAATAAATAAATTATAGATCACTTATTTTCTGTTGAAAACTATGATCTCCAATTTTGGGCATTCATATTTGGTTATATTTTTTTGATTAGGATTGATATTGAGAGTTCATGATCGATCATCACCTTTGCTTGAACAGTTGTAATTTGTCACTTTTCATTTTAAAATTATAATTTTACCATAATAAAAACTATCTAAACCATAAATTTTTCTTTTGGTACCGTAAACTTTCCCATAAGTAAACATGTTTGCAACTAGGGGTGCAAATCGAGTCGGTTGGACAGTCAACTCTAACCCAACTTTAGGTATATAATCTTCAATCCTACTCCTAATTTTAACCCTACCTCGGGTTAAGGAACTCAACCCCGAGCACTGCTCGAGTTTAATTCGGGCGAGCTCGGGTTGAATTCGAGTTAATGATTTCGGATTAATGATTTCGAGTTACTTTATGAGTTCAATTCGGGTTAAGTTCGAGTAGAGTCCAAAATAGGCTTGTTGTTCTAAACTTAATACATATATTATATAATATTCACATAAATTAACAACCAATAATTTCAATCAAGTTCTTAACATAAAAATCATAATCAAAACATAAAAACCATTGTTACCAGTCCACTACAAGAGAGACAGAGAAAGGGAGAATAATTACAAATTCATAAAACATAATTCATATATTTCATTTATAACAGTACACGATTATTAATCATCTGCTTTCACACCAAAAAGCTAATGATCTCAAAGCACAATCCCAAAAAACATAGAAATTAGACCCATAAAAACATTAAACTTAAAACATCACACTATTACTACTAATCACGCATAACAGAGTAGCAAGAAACCAGAAACAAAGGAATTCGGGTTCGGGTTGAACCCGTGAACTCAATGCCTTAACCTAATTCCAACCCAAATTGAATTCAGGTTAAGGTTTTTTGACTCAAAGTCCAACCCAAATATTAAAAACTCTTATCCAACCCAAAATCAGTCTTGCACGTACTATTATCATTTTAACTATTATATAACGGACTTCACTATAGTATCGAAAATAAAAATTAGCACCGTGTCTCTAAATTTTACTATATTAATATGGGTCATTTTATAATAAAAATTTTATAATTTTTGTAGGTGATTTACCATTTTTGTAAATTTTTTTACCACTCTTGTTGGTATTTTTATCATTTTATAGTAATTATTTTTACCATTTTTGTGGTATTTGCGATCGAACCTAGCAAGTACCAGAAAATTGATAAAAATAATTATAATAAAAATGATAAAAATATTCACAAAAATAATAAATTTGGTATAATACTAATTTTTTTTTTCCCATACGGTAGACTTGTCCTTAATTATATAACCTTAATTACACATATTTTTAAACTAAAACAAGTGTACTAAACGACAGAATTAATCGACAATTGATTCTGTAAATTCCTATTTTTGTCTTGTACCTCACCTTTGCAAGGAAAAAAAAAGCAACTTGATCGGTGGCTGGGTACTTATGCATTGTATTTTTATTATTTTTTTAATTTTTAGAAAGGAGAGGACGGTGAATTTTGAATTCGCGGCGTAACAGTCCAACGGTGGAATGTATGGCCATTAGGCCAACGGTGGTGCATTGTATGTCGGTTGATTAAAGCTCATAAGTAGTTTTGGTCTACCCATGCACATAGAGCCTAATTCAAATGATCTCATACCTCCAAACATGGACTCCTAATTGCAGTTGCCATCAAAATTTGACCAAAATCCATGAAAAAGGAGCCATCCTGGACTGTCTGCTCTGAGATTCTGTCTGTGTGTCTGTTTGTGAATTTGTCCAGGATTCAGAACTGCAATGACATAAAACACGCCGTGTTTCATGTCCAAGCTGCCATAGATTTCCCTTTTTTTTTTTTAGTCTTGATAATAGATATACAGGTCATTTCATATATCTGGCAGGAGCATTGCTCCTGGGTACCAACAGTTATTTATACGAGACTTCACTGCAATTACGTCGATACCGAAACTAAAATTTCATTGCATGTTCTGAATACAGAAGAATATGTTTAGCTCCAACAAACTGTCTTAACTATACAGACTTGAACCCAAGTCTATATACAACTTAAGTTTACTTGCTCCGTGTTATTTTCATGTCAAGTGTCCAGGTGATGGCTAAACTTGTCTTCAAGCCGGGCTAAGATCAACTACCAGCGGAACTTGCGGTTAAACAATTCCGATGATTAGTGGTTAATGCCAAGACAATAGTCTCCATTCAAATAATTCAATCAATCAGTCAATTATTCGCATTACCCATTAAAGTAAGCACGTAGCAGAGAAAAAAAGTGCATGCTCGTAGGAGAGAGAAAATCAAGGAGCAGAAGAGCTGGAAGAAATGCATGTGCATGGTGGGGTCTATGGGCATAGCGATTGGGTAGTTCAGTTTGAACAACTGCATGTGCATATTGATGCTTTTGTATGACCTGAAATAAGAGGTTTTGTGGCTTTGCCTGCTCTCAAACTCAGCAGTGGCTAACTTGTTAATTTCTGATATGCACTCTAAAGTCTAACCTTGCCTTCCATTTCCTATATAAGACCACACCCACTCTCCTTCCTAGCATCAACCTCTCAGCACTCAATCTTCTCTCTTCCAATCTTTGCCGTATACCTCTCTCTCTCTCTCTCTCTCTCACACACACACACACACACACGCACATAATGGCTATTCCAGCAATCTCCATTGCTTCTCTTCTTTTCTTGTTCTTCAATTTGTGCCTCCGCGGCACCTATGGAGACTATGGAGGGTGGGAAAGTTCTCATGCTACTTTTTATGGTGGGGGCGATGCATCTGGAACAATGGGTATGTAAAATGTCATTTATCCTTAGATAAAAGTCTCGTGTGTTAGATCTTCTTTTTTTATTTGGACATATAGTTTCACATTCTCATATCAATCATACTGTTTACATTGATTGATTGAAAATAACTTTACACTGAATGACTGCCAATTAAAAATTGTAATGTGTTATATGGTACTGGTAACTGCAGGGGGTGCATGTGGGTATGGCAATTTGTAAAGTCAAGGCTATGGGACCAACACTGCAGCACTAAGCACTGCTTTATTCAACAATGGCTTGAGCTGTGGATCCTGCTATGAGATGAAGTGTGACGATGACCCGAAATGGTGTCACCTGGGCACCATTACTGTCACTGCCACAAACTTCTGCCCTCCAAACCCTTCCCAGCCTAATGACAATGGTGGCTGGTGCAATCCTCCCCTCCAGCACTTTGACATGGCAGAGCCTGCATTCCTGCAAATTGCTCAATAGCGAGCTGGAATTGTTCCTGTTTCGTTCCGACGGTGTGGTCGAGTTTTAATGCTTTCCAATTACATTAAAATTTTGAGTCTAATTCACTTCCAATGACATTAAAATGTATCATAAAGTTTGCTTCTAGTGTTTTGTGTCACATGTTTAAAGCTGTAACACAATAATTTCACTATTGAATCGAATTGAAATTGAATTGGTGATATTGTTTGTGTTGGTCTTGACAGGGTGCCCTGTGTGAAGAAAGGAGGAATAAGGTTTACAATCAATGGTCACTCCTACTTCAACTTGGTCCTGATCACCAACGTTGGCGGTGCAGGGGACGTCCAGTCAGTGTCCATCAAGGGGTCTAACACAGGGTGGCAACCCATGTCAAGGAACTGAGGCCAAAAAAGGCAGAGCAATTCCTACCTCAATGGCCAATCTCTCTCTTTTCAGGTCACCACCAGTGATGGAAGGACTCTGACCAGCAACAATGTCGTCCCTGCCGATTGGCAATTTGGACAAACATTTTCTGGGGTTCAATTTTAAGCTTCTAAGACAATCAAACATGGTGAAATTTGTATATGGTGTTTAAAGTTGAGAGTAAGTAGGACAGGGAGTGGCTCAGGGACTGCGGTTGGCTCTGTAGCTGTGGTGGCTAGCTAGTTAGCACCCGTTAAGGCCTATCTATATATATGTATGTATGTGTGTAGAGGTGATTTATATTGAACAATCAAATACTTGGAGTTGATATAGTCAATTCTAAATAGTTAGGATACAGAGCTGTTATGACTAGTTAAGATCTCAAGTTAATAGATTATAAATTTTGGCCAAGTGAAATTTAATCCCCAAGGTGGATATGAAACCAAGTTAGGGTAACTGCATGTAACTAAAGTACCCTTTGTGTAATGAACCATTGGGGGCATTGCCTTTTCTTTATCTAATGTGTCCTTTTTTCTTTTTTTTCTTGTTTTGGCTCTTTCCTTTTTCATTGAACAATGACTTGATGAAAGATAACTAATGAATCTGTAAGGTAAAGGCAAGTGGTTGTTTTAAAAGATAGTTGTTTCCATGAAGCAATGTGATTTCAATGGTGTTTTAACTATTATGTAAGAGCAATGCCCCCCTTGTCTTGGGCAGCCATTAAGCATCTCTTCCTTATATGTGAATCCAAAAAATAGTGTGGTCATCATCATGCACACACATGTATAATATTTTTTGAATACATAATTTATTCAAAAAAATCCAAGTATAATATTTTTCGCCAAGAATTGATGCAATTCACTAGACTTAAAAGAGTCTCCAAAAACATACCCGACTATAGATGATATTTGAAATGGTTATGTGGGGATTAGTAAGAGTACTACAGAGATGTTCTCGAGTCTTTTTTGATAAAAAATATAGTTTATTTGACGTAATTCAACAACAAATTAGTGAATTTCACTATCATTTATTTTGATGATTCATGGGGATTCGTTTAAAACATAAAACTTATTATCATAGTAAAGAGTTTAACGACACACACACACACCAAAAAAAAAGTCTTTAACCCCTCTAACCCATCATTTACATGGAATAAAGAAACAGAGGTTGAATGTGATTATGATAAATTATAAGGGGCGTGGATGTAATTTTTCGAACCACAAAAAATGCTAAATAGAGAAAAGAGGTTGAATGTGATTATGATAAATTATAAGGGACGTGGATGTAATTTCTCGCTGGCTACTTCGCAAAGGGCAAAAATGAAAATTTTTTTACAATCTTTTGATCCAATAATACCTCAACACGTGTAGAGCGTAGAAAGATTCACCTGGACACCACTACACTCTATCCGGCTCATCCACCAACACCTTCATCGTAAACTATACACAGAGCCAATGACGACCATTTCAGGAGTCAGAGCTCGATTTCTCAGAATTTTCTCCATTCAAAACCCTAGAAATCTCCATTATTCACCACACCGAGCTTTTCCCCGAACCCTAATCGGCACCTTTTCTGTAATTTCAAAGATGGAGCAGAGCAGTGCCGTATCTAATGGTGGAGGATTGAGTGCTGCTAGGGTTTCGACCATCTCCAACGGCGGAGAAGATAACCACCGTGCGGTTCAGTTCCAGTTGTCTCCGACTGGTGTGCTCAAGTTTCAGCAGGGGGATATCACTCAGTGGTCCGTCGATGGCTCCTCCGACGCCATCGTAAGCCCCTCTCTCCCTGTCTTCTTTTACCATAAGTTTCTTCGGGAGCTCGCGGTGCTGTGTATAACACATTTTTGTGCCGGTTTTGGTCATTAGTATATGTGTGCAGGGTCGGCTCAATAGAATATTGAGCCCTAAGCGAAAACTTGAAGCGGGGCACTTTACAAACTTATTATAAATATATATGTTTTCTTAGGACACAGCTATATTTTCAATGAAGAAAGAGATATTTGCTATTTTATGACTATGCTATTTTTCAGTGTGTTTTGAACTTAAAATCATATATATGAGAGATATTGAGAGAGAGATGTAAGCAGGATTCGTTTATGTAAATATATTTGTGATAAGGGTGGAATTTTGGGCGCGGGCCACCATGAAACCCATAAGGAACTGAATACAGAGCTCAATGCCCCAAAAAGCGTAGCTGGTTAGCCCATGCCAAAGAGCTGAAAGGGGAAGACCCGGTGGACACCCGAGGGGCCCAGCCCCGGCCCGATTAGGTGTTAGCTAAAGGGGAACCCGAGGAAGAGGAATCGGATTCTTGCCCTGGAGTCATCCCGCCATGCCTTGTGTCCAGAGGACAAGGGGACCACCTCTAAAACCTATGATAGCTACACCCGCCCGCACGCAGAGAATGGTGGAGCCTAACGTCCCAGAGATCGTGGGCACGGTAACGCCGGTTGAAAAAGCTTTTGCAGGACAAGGACGGAAGGTCCCCACAGAATCGGTAAAAAGGTAGGAGAATCCGTCAGAAACCATAAGAGAGACGACCCATATATGTAGAACAGTGCCCTGCAGAAGAAGGGGGACTTAGAGAACATTTATCAACCGTGTACAATCTATAAGCAAAACATCAACTGTAAGGGCCCAGCGCCTAAATCCCGGTTGTAAACATCGGAGTTTCAATATACAAAATCAAGGAGCAAGAGACTTCATTACAGTAGACGTAACCTTGGTCTATTGGCTAAGGCGAACCACTTACTTTCTGTGTCTTCTCTTTCAATAGATAATCCAATCTACGAAACCAACTCTCATACCAAACTCAATAACCTCGCATAAGTCGGGCTTGGGCTGTGATTTCCGAGACACCATCAATTTGTATATGCCATAATTATGGAGAGTGATGGATTGACAACAGATGAAGAGAGAAGATGTGATGTTTTAGGTGGGTGATGTTAGATGTGATCTTTTAGGTGACCGTTGAGTTGGAGGGAGAGCGTAAAATTTAGTGAAAAAAAGGAGAGAATTAGTTTTTGTATCTTTTAGGCTCTTATTCCATAATATTCTTGAATCAGATTAACCCATATTATAAAATATCAAAAATATAATTTAGGGCCCCTTATATTTTGGGCCCTAAGCAAGCATTTCACTTGTTTATAGTGTTAACCGGCCATGTGTGTGTGTGTGTGAGAGAGAGAGAGAGAGAGAGAGAGAGAGAGAGAGTCATAGGAAAGTGGGTAGTTTTATATAAAAAGTTAACTATGAATTGATTAATTGTACTAAACTAGTTATTAACTACCAGTAGTGTATGGGATTTGATATCAAAATCTGCAAATATTCAAGCTATATATAAAATGATTGAGAGGGTCTTTGGATGGATGTTTTGCACAGGTCAATCCTGCAAATGAGCAAATGCTTGGAGGTGGTGGTGCTGATGGAGGTAAATTTCTACTTATTATTTGTTGAACATAATTTATATGAATTGTACCATAATTCTTGATGTCATATAATCTTAGCCATACATAGAGCTGCTGGTCGAGAACTCCGAGCAGCGTGCTACAATGTCCCAGAAGTTCAACCTGGGTTGCGCTGCCCTACTGGAGAAGCGAGAATTACCCCGTAGGTTCTCCTTGATTAACTTATGATATGCTGTCTTATCGAACCTTGCAGTTACTTTGCACGGTTTCAATGTACTGACATGTTAAATATATGCAGGGGTTTTAGATTGCCCGCAACACATGTAATTCACACTGTTGGTCCCATATATTTTGCTCATCAAAACCCTGAAGCTGCTCTGAGAAGTGCATACAGGTGTGTTAATATCTCTAAGAATCAAAATTTCATTTCAATATATTGTTTTGGTCATATTGAAAATGCAGAAAGAAACAAAGAAAATATTTGAAAAATTGTTTCCAAAACATTGGTCAAAAGTCAAAACTCCTTTAAACATCCCGAAACACCTCAAAACAAAAGAATGTCGATATTCAATCATTCATTTGTTTCAATTTTTATTGTTGTTTCGACAGAAACAAAATGAGAATTTTGTCCTGGAGTATGTCTTTTGCTTGCCTTCCTGCTACAAATTGACTTTGTAATCCCCATCTGATAGATCTTTTTGCCTACACTTGTTGCAGAAACTGTTTACGCATTGCCAAGGAAAACAACATCCAATACATAGCATTTACTGCCATATCATGTGGTGTCTACGGGTGAGTTGGTCCAGAGGAAAAGTAGTTTAACTTTGGAATCTAAAGCAAAGGTCTTGTGAATTTTCTCTATCATCTTTCCAAGTGTTCATAACTTCATATCATTTAATGGGAAATGATTTCAATTGTTCTCTGGTTGCCTGGTTTCACATGAAAATGAATTGATGAATAATTCTGATTTCTGAGAATGATGCGACTCTAGCACACAAATTTTTAGCTTTTAAAGTAATTACATCCAACCGAATGATTTGTTAGATAACATGCTCCTTAGAAATGTCTTTCTCCTTGTGCAAGAAATGTTCTGAAGTTTCCATAGATTTGGTGCTAATAAGAGTGTTTGATGATCACTCCATCTTTTATTCATCCTCACCCTTTCTTTCAGATATCCTTATGATGAAGCTGCCACTGTGGCTATAACTGCAATACAGGAGTTTGCCAATGACTTCAAAGAGGTATTGTTGAATCTTGAATGTTTCAAAATTTACTTATATTGTTGAGATCCTGATTTTCCTTGTGCTGATTGGAAATTGTCGCAATTTACATTGTGAAATACTGAACAAGTAGTAATTTTTAGCTCCTTACTGTTTATCCTACATCTCCAGGACTCTTCTTTAACTTGTTGAGTATTTATTGATCAATCAATAAACCAAGAGTATACCTAGGCTTCTAATCTATAACTAGTAGTACTAGGCAATAATCCAAGATTTTGTGGAACAAAACAGAATAGTGAGATGTTAAATTTTTTATCGTTTGTGACAACCCAACCTTTTCATGCGGAGCCCATTTGTACTTTTTTCCATGACCTGTCAATTCTTGCTTCATGGCATTGTCATGGCCATCATGCTTGCCTATCAACCATTAGCCAATCTTATTTGTAATGTATAAAGAATTAGGTTAGCCTATTGTATCAGAAAACAACTTTTTAGCATAGTTATCAGAATCGGACTGGATATTGACCCGGCAGAGGGATCGGGTCAATGGATCACTGGTTCAACCGTTTCCGTTTGGTGAACTGGTCGAACCGATTGTATAATAAAAAAATTGCAAAATATAATAATTTAACTAAAAATATATAAAAAATGTCTCCAATGCATTCAATTATAAATACAAACCCCCTAAAATGATAAGCAATATTAACACTAGCATGATTATAAATACAAAATCCCAACAAGAGCACCTAGAATTATAAATACAACCCACTAAAAGGATATGCATTATGTAAAATATTAAATTAATGGTAGTCTACATGCTATTTCCACATTCACTACCCAGAATTCTCTGTTAGTAGTGCTACACTAATTGGATACTTTTGAAAAATAGAGAATCTAACAGAAGGTAGTGAGTGTGTTATGCGTGACGCGTGAGAGAGAAAGAAGACTTAGACTAGCAGAAGGAAGAAGATAGATCTAAGTGACTGAGGCGCCACCTGAGTTGAACTTTAAGTGCCTGAACTAGCCGAAGGAAGGAGAAGGGAGAACCGAAGCTGGCTGGACTCTGGAGTAGTAACAGATCGAGTTGAGAAGAAGGAGAGTGAGTCTCCTATGCGTTTGTCACTTCTACCGGATAAAAACCAAGTGAGATACGATTGTTTTAGGGCAAAATTGTCCCAAAAAAAAAGGAATTTTTATTTTTATACAAATCAATAGTCGAACCGTCCGGTTCACTGGTTTTATTAATAAGCGGTCGGTTTAGTGGTTTGATTGCCTATGCGGTCTAACTTGAAAATTGGACTGGTCTAAGGTCCAGTTCATAGTTGAATCGGTCAAACTAGTCAGTCGGTCCAACTCTGATAACACTGCTTTTTAGTGTCGCTCTTTCTTTATTTGTCCAATCACAAAGTAACAGATACAAAGTTTAATTATTTTATGATTTCCCTTTTTTTATTATTATTTTCACAATTAATGGCTTCAATTAATTCTAATCAAGATCTACGGCTCAAAACTATTTTCCGGTCTATCGGGGATATGGGAACCTTGTGATTGGTATGACCTACAAAATATTTTTGTTACCAATAGAAGTTATATATGTGAGTCTATATATATATACTGGCACGGCAACGGTATTTTGGAACCTAATTTGGCGACTTAATTTTGACCATTGGAGTAATGGTGGATTTCAGTATCACGGTGAATTAGGTCGTCATTTTAGGTCCGCTAATAGGTCCCAAAACCTTTGCTCATATTGACATTCACGTATGATTTTTGTTTTTGCAGGTGCACATTGTTTTGTTCTCAGATGATATTTATAATGTTTGGTTGGACAAAGCAAAGGAATTGCTACAAAATTAACCAGTACGATGGCTCATCAGTCCGCAGAAGTGTTTCTACCTGTCGACTACTACATACCAAGCAGCATAATGTGCTTTTTTTATGGAAATTTCCAATTGGCATGTTGATATCTTGCGGAGCTATTGGGGGCAAGATCGAATCACAATGATCGGAAAATTTACCGGCATACATTAGAGTGTGACCATATCCTCTGTTCCCTGCACTGTAAATAAGGTAACTCATCATTTAGCCATGCAACAGTGATGTATGGAAGGGACAGGCACCAGGTTTTGTCATGCCCCTACCAATGTCGGAGATTGGTTGGTGCTGTTTTTAGCTGTCTATTTGTCCAATGTGAATTATCTTTTTATATGTGAAATGAAACCATCTTGAAAAGGTTGCTCTTTCCCTGCTCCCTAAGACACAGGGAGATGCATCTCATCTGTGAACAGAAACAATGCATTCGTCATTCCCTCCCTTCAAATTCGAGAGGATGAAGTTGTCCTGACACGATTTGGGGGTATGACTTTGTTCTTCAAAATGATGTCGTGTTGAAGAATAACACAAGTGTTGTATAACAGGGGATACCCCTCACAATTAGATATAGGAGTCTAGGATTGAGTTGAGCTAAGATATTTGGGAAATTATTTTTTGGTACACCATCGTATAGTATATGAATAATGTGTAAAATAAAAATTACATTGAGTCATAAATTAATAAAAAATTAAATAATTCAACTTGTGTTAAAAACACGTAATGTTATGCGACAAAAATTGACAAGAAAACTGTACGGTGGAAAACGAGGTTTTGAGTCCATTTCCGGTTGTTCAATACAGACTAACAAAATTAAATGGGCTTAGAGCCCATTTTCAGGTTGTCCAATGAACTCAACAAAATGGGCCTCGAAGCCCATTTCACTTAGAGTCACGCCACGCTACCTGGAAGCTCTANTATTTTTTATTATTTCAATGGACAAAGACAAACTTGAAAAACTGTCAAATAAGGGAGAAAAATCCCAAATAGCTTCCCATCCCGTCATTTGTCTAGTACCATTTTATTTAACATTTATTGCAATCAATGGTTGCTAGAAGAAAAAAAAAAGAATGTCGTTCTGAAAAAAAAAAAATTAAAGTTTAAGAAGGGTAAAGTCATGGGTGAATATTTTTCTTAAATTTTGAAATGCACATGTACAATAAGAAGTTACTTATTCATAGTACAAATCAAAAAATTGACAGTCGTTATCTATTTAGAGTGATATGAAATAAAAATTAATACATTAGAAAGTAATGTGAAAAATTTTACAATTCAAAATACAAAATGAAACAAAAATAATAGTTCAAGAGAGTAAAATATAATTTACCCTAAATGGAATTATGCAAATACAAAAATCTCGTTGCGAGTCTTTGAGATAATATTTTTAAAATTCTCTCAAATTAAAATGAAGTAAATTTGGCCATAAATAACATACACCAGTTGAAGTAAGAAAGTGAATGAGATGTTTACAGAGAAGAACGGGACTTTTGTAGACACCCACTAAAAATGAGTAACTTCTGACTTAATTTTTAGACATTAGAATGTATGAGCAAACCAACTTGAATTTGAACGACGATTGGCATCAAGTCTTACCAAGATCGAATTTTCTTTTCATGCCATACACCACATCTTGATGTATCCTACAAGATGAACCGACATACAAGGACTTAAAAACCACAAAATGAACAAGGAATAACCCACAGGTTAAAGAAAAATAACCATGTCAGCTGCAAGTTACTGATAAAGTACCATCTGTAGTTAGTAAAAGCAGAAACTTGCATGCTGAGAAATAGGAGATCAAATCTCACTGTCACTGTTTCACCCATTTGATCAAATCTCTCCATCATTCACAAATGATTTTTGTGAAAAAGAACTTAGGGCTTAGCCTTAGCAGAAATATATGGGATGCAAATTGGTATGTATAGATACTGCCCTTAGGTTATTGCAGAAACATAGCATCATATTGCCATCTCTCTGTTAAAAAATCGANTTGATGTTAGCTTTACGGTATATGATGTCTTATTCTTACACTAGGGTATGTTTGATTCAATATAATTTATGTTTTCAAGCAGGGCATATCAATCACTCAATTTTCTGGAAGAATCTTGCTCCTGTTCGTGTAAGTTTTATTCTCTGGCCCTTTGCCAGTGTTTTTATTATCCTATTTCATTTAAGTTCTGACCTTGACACACTTCTTTTCTGAATGCTTCCAGGAAGGAGGTGGTGAACCACCAAAGGGTTCATTGGGTTCAGCTATTGACACACACTATGGTTCTTTGGAATCACTGATACAAAAGATCAATANAAACTAAAAAAGAATTAGAGCAGTTAATGAAAGTTTTTTATGTCACTTTTTGTGCATTCTAGACTCGGGGGAGTTATATTGCAAGGGCGACAGAGGCTGTCTGATAGATTCCCCATCGTTGAAATCGATTTTCTTCTCAATTGGGCTACTCATCTTGGGGCTAGATTTTCTCTTGTTTCTCTGCAAGACAATCAAATAAAGTAAACCAGTTATGTAAATATCAGATGCTACATAGGCATGTTTTAGGCACACACATCAACCCCTACAAAAAGTGAAATTCTTTTCACATTTCTCACCTTTGCAGAAACACTGCTGGTTAGTTTTCCACCAGAACCAGGGGTGTTGTTTTCTTTGTGACGCTGTCTCATTAATCTTTTATTTTCCTCATCTAATATTTTGTTTTCTTCAAACAACACGTTCACCTAAGCATATCAAAACATTTTAATAGTTATTGTTAGAATGTTACGAAACCGTATAAGGGAATTATTTCTAATAATCTGCTCACCTCCTCTTCAGCTCTATGAAGATTGATCCTTAAATGTTCCTTGTCTTTCTCCAGAGACTTGACCTCAGCAGCCAGTGCTNGTTGGGTTCAGCTATTGACACACACTATGGTTCTTTGGAATCACTGATACAAAAGATCAATACCGAAGGTGCTGCTTTACAGGGCTCCGGATGGGTGGTAAGTTCTGCATCCTCTTAATTATATAATCTGTTTTCATGTACTCCACTTATTAACATTGGCTGGATGTCTAACTTGGCAGTGGCTTGCTGTGGACAAAGAGTTGAAAAGGCTAGTGATTGAAACCACTGCAAATCAGGTGACCTAAGCAAGATTAATCATTAAATTTCTAAATAATGGTCATTTTCCAATCAAGGTTAGGTACTTACCATTTATTCTGTCCACTCCAACTAAAATTGCTCAGCTTACGCTGCCTTAGAATTTGTTGATTATCTGACAAGTCCAAGACCATGTATATTAGCATGATAGCTATTATCTTAATGATCTCTGCTGTAATACACCTTATACCAACCAACTAACCAAACCAAACCTTATGTCCCAATCATATGAGTCCGTATTCGTGTAATACAACTTCATATGTTGTAGAAAAATCATCATTAAGCACTTCAAAAATATATTTGAGCTTGGGAATGGGTGCTTTACCTGTATTTCCGTCGATAAGATTATCACTATATGAGGGGGATTGTGGTGCATACTACATGCTTTCTAATTGTTTTCACTTTCTCTATTTCTTTTTGTAGGACTGGATAACTTCATACAGTATATCTGTTGTTGCTTGAGTTCCCAATAATTGTAGTCATGTGTTATAACTAGTTCTCATTTATTTTCTTGTAGGCATTATGTTTCCCTTTAAACCATTCCACTTTCATATCTCATATTTGTATTATCATGGACTCTGCTGCAGGACCCACTAGTTACCAAAGGACCAAGTCTGGCTCCTCTTCTTGGTATCGATGTTTGGGAACATGCATACTACTTACAGGTATTTATTTTTGTCAGATTTTACTGCTTATATTGCCCATATTTGGTTGTTTTGTTATATCAAGACTCGCAATATTTTGAAAATGCAGAATTAGGTAAATCTGTTGCAATCCCTCTCTTTTCCCATATGTTATTTCTACCCATTTTAAAAGTATTTTTAATGATGACATAAGTGGATGGGTTAATGAAACATTTATGATATGTAATTCATTTGAAATATTTTGGGCTACTTTACAGGCTGATTTCAGGTTAATGTTCTAAACATAATGTGTATATTACATAATATTCAAATAATTTAACAACCAATAACTTCAATCAAGTTTTTAACATAAAAACCATAATATTAAAAACTCAATGCAACCCCAATCATATAGAACACAAAGTCACAAACAGTTTTGTTAGTGCAAAATATAACACTGCTACCAGTTTAACAGAAATAACAATGATGTCAGTTTAACAGAACTAACAATATTACTGTTATTGTAAAACATAACACTGCTACCTTGCACAGAACCAATTTAACAGAACACAGACAAAAGTAAAACATAGTCCATAAGGGTAAGAAAATCATATTAACCCTAGTATAAATTATAAAATTGTATTTATATAATAGTAATTCCGGTTGAACCCAAGGGATCAATCCGAGACCCACTCAAATTGAATTCGGGTTGAGATTTTTTGACCCAAGCTCAACCCAAGTATTAAAAACCCTTGCCCAAATTCTAATTTTTTCGGATTGGACTCAAGTTTTCCAACCCATGTTGCACCCCTAATTTTATGGCAATTGAGCATTAATGAGCTATTCAATTGGTTACTGTAGATTTAGGGTTTGAAGAAACCAACTAAGGAGTATGACTTCAATGATTGTTTATGGTCTATGCTTGCTTTTAAAAAGTTATTTCCAAAAATCAGTCATTATTTTCTTCTTCATTTGCCTATTTATCGCGCAGTTATTTTTGCAATCCTCTCTTTTCTCTCATGCGAATTGATACATATGATGGTTTTTCACAATGCAGTACAAAAATGTTAGACCAGATTACCTCAAGAACGTATGGAAAGTCATGAACTGGAAATATGCCAGTGAAGTTTTTGAGAAAGAGTGTCTTTAATGAAGAAACTCACCATCCTCAAGGGTTGGCTTGACAGGTACTGTCAAGTTTTTTTAAAGAAAAACAAAGTACGACATTACGTATCACCGATGAAGAGCTCCTTGTTCTATTAGGTATTTGCTTCCATATTGCACGGATCCTGAATAAAACATGTTACTTGTACTCTGCTCCTCTACAAGTCTGTGGTTATCATACCATGTATGAATTTTTCCTTTTGTGCTTGTGCATTTGTATTGTAAGAGATTATGGGGGTTTTGATGTGCATGGTTTATAACTTTTTTTTTTTTTTTGATAATGATAATAAGATTTAAGAGTAGGTACAATAACAAAAGACAGTACTTAAAAACATCCTAATGTAGCATGGAGGGGATGTGCATCCAAATCCACTTGAGCCTTTGTTGAATTTGGCAGTTGGTCTGGCTGGAGTGGACCTGTATAACCCATAGCGAGCCCCCATCTTGCTAATTCATGAGCAGCACCATTTGCATCCCTACATGTGTGTACAAATTCCCATTCTGAATGATGCTGAAGAATGACTTTTATGTCTTGTACAATTGAGAGCACAGTCCAATGAGGTTTGACATGAGGGAGCATGATGGAATGAACTACAATTTGTGAGTCTCCTTCTATGAGCACATAAGACCATCGCTTGGCATGTGCCCATTCCACAACTTGCCTTGCAGCTAGAGCTTCAGCTATGAGTGGGTATGTTTCTGTTACGATCTGGAGTTCACTTCCTATAACTGATCTATCATGAAGTCTGGCAATTGCTGCAATAAATGAATTCTTATTCCCCACTGCTGCATCAAAGTTAACTTTTGTAATTCCTTCATGAGGGGATCTCCAAAATTCTGGTGATTTTTGGATTGGTGGGGCCTTTGGATGGATTTTAACTTCTCTAAACTCATCAAAGGTCTTCAAAATTTGCTGGAGGAATTGATGTGGAATGACTAGTTGACTATTGTGAGGAGTCTTATTCCTCCAAGTCCAGGTACTATAAATCAAGATAGCNAGTTGACTATTGTGAGGAGTCTTATTCCTCCAAGTCCAGGTACTACAAATCAAGATAGCTGTGAATAGCAACAGTTCAGAGTAAGGAGGGCTATTGGATCCAAAAATGATGGTGGGATGGAGGATGTTCTGAATCCATTCCTGTAGACTGAGGTGAGAAAAGGAATCTGTGCGAAGCCCCCATCTTGTGAACCAAACCATCCTAGGCAAATGGCAAAGGAAGAATAGATGCGTGGTTGTTTTTGGATATTGGTGGCATATGGGGCAAAGGATGTTTGGTATAGAAAATCTGTTTGCTAGTAAAGTTCTAGTTGGGAGACACTTTGTAGTTTATCTGCAAATGAACATTTTTGTGTCTTTTATGAATAGAAGTCTGTCATATTCTCTTACAGCCGCTTTTTGCTAGGTAGTGAGTTTGTGAATCTTGCACCGCTTTATAAGATTTGTAGGCAGACTTGCAATCAAAATTCCCATTCCTGTTCGGTATCCACAATAGCTTGTCTTCCCTTTGAAAGGTTGGGATATGAATTCTTAGTATAGCATGAATGGTTTCTTGATTGAACAATGAGGATAAAAGAGTTATGTTCCAGCTATTGGTGTCCTGGTCAATTAGTTCAGATACAAGGTTGGGAAGAATCTCTGATTCCTGCTGAAGATGGGCTTTGAATGTTGGCAGATTAGGAGCCCAAGTTCTGTCCAAATATTTATTGATTGACCATTCCCCACCATATAGCAGGCACTTTGCTCGATGATTGGTCTACACTCCAAAATTTGTTTTCAGATTTGAGAATCGTGTGGTTGTTTACCGGTGTAAAAGAAAGAGCTTCTAGAGCTGTATTTCCTGCTCAAGTGACTGGTCCATAGCTTGTTTGGGTTGGAAATCAATTGTCATCCTAGCTTGGACATTAAAGCTTTATTCATATCAGAAGTTCTTCTGAAACCTAAGCCTCCAAATTCCTTAGGTGTGCATAATGAGTTCCAAGATTTCAATGTCAGTGTATGTTTGTCCTCAATATGACCCCACCAAAAGTTCTTGATTGTTCTATCCATCTTGCTGCAGAGGTGCTGTGGCAATAGGAAGGATTGCATGGCATAAATTGGCATTGCCAAAGCTGTTGACTTTATTAAAGTTGCTCTCCCTGCATAGGAGAGTAATTTGGCTTTCCAACCCTGCAGCTTCATCTCAAGCTTCTGTAAGATTGGTTGGAATGATCTTGTTCTGAACCTCTTTATGAAAAGAGGCAGTCCTAGGTAAGTAGCTTCCAAAGGTCCTTTTTTGATACTTAAAATCTATTTGATGGGCCCGATCAGGGAGTGTTGGGCATTTGGGCTGTAGTGCACTCTGAATTTCTCATAGTTTTTTTGCTACCCAGACCATTGAGCATATGTAGAGAGACAATTTTTGATAGCTGCAGCATCTTTCTTGGTGGCTCTTGCAAAAATGAGGAGGTCATCTGCAAACATTAGATGACTGATAGGTTCGCAGTTTCTTGAGATTTCGATGCCTTTGAGATTTCCCAGTAATGCTTCCCAGTGAATTAATCTAGAAAGAATTTCAGTGCAAATGACAAACAGTGAGGGTGAAAGAGGATCTCCCAGTCTAAGACCTCTTTGGGCATGGAAGTTTCGAAGGGGTCCCCATTGATTAGGACTGAGAATGAAGCTGTGGAGATACATTGTTTAATCATATTGATAAATTGGTCAGTAAAACTAAGAAGCTTAAGAACTTGCAGAATGAAGACCATTCAACTTTATCAAAGGCTTTGGCAATATCAATCCTTAACATTATTAGAGCACCTTTCCCTTTTTTCTTTTTGAATTGATGAACTATTTCTTGAGCCAAAAATGGCGTTCTCTGCAATACCTCTACCTTGGATAAATGTAGTTTGGTTTGCTGAGAGGATTTGGTCTAACAGAGGTTTGATCCTATTGGCAAGGATTTGGAAATGATCTTATAAGCAACATTACACAGACTAGTTGGCCTATACTAATTAACTGTGTTGACCTTTGTGGATTTGGGAATGAGACAAATATTGGTTCTATTAATTTAAGACAGCATGTGTCCTCCAGCAAAGAAGGACTTGACCATATCAAATAAATCCCCTTCTATGGTATACCAATATGTCTGGTAAAATATGGCAGACATACCATCAGGACTAGGGGCTTTGGTTGGAGGCATTGCAAAGTGAGTTGCTTTAATTTATTCTGGTGAGGGTATGACACAAAGATTCGGATGTTGTTCAGGAGTGATTATGAGTGCTATGAGGTCATCTAAGTGCTGGGGAAAGTGAGGATTAAATGTTGTGAAAAGTGTTTGAAAGTACTGCAGGAATTGGTTACCAATAGACTCCCTCTCTGTGATCTATGTTCCATCTGGAAGCTTCACGCAATCGATTGAGTTCCGTCTGCCTCTGATGACTGTGGTGGTGTGAAAGAATTTGGTATGGGCATCTCCTTCTTTCATCCATTGGATTCTTGATTTTTGCTTCCACATCTTTTCCTCCTTTCACAGCTGTTCATTAAGATCATGCTGCTAGATTTTCTCCTCCGCTATATTGTCATCAGTTGGTTCAACTTGTTGTAGATAATCAATTCTGCTCCTTAGTGCCTTTGCCTTATAGATACGGTTTTCAAATACTTCCCTATTCCAATGCTTTAATGCTTGTTTAGTAGCTTGTAGCTTCTTGCAAAACTTGTATGCTACTGATCCTTTTCTATTAGTCTTCCATGATCCTTTGACCACATGGTGACTACTAGGGTCCCTTATCCACATCTTCTCTAATTTAAAAGGTTTGTGAAAGGTTTTAGGGATTCCAGATGTGTTCAGGAGGAGGGGGGAATGGTCAAAAGAATTAGCTGGCAGATGTCTAATGGCGGAATGTGGAAATAACATTCTCCAGTCAAGTGTGACTAGTCCTCTGTCCAATCTTTCCTTGATGTTTGCAAGACCTTGACGTTTGCCATGATAGCCAATGTCAACAAGTCCTTGGTCATTAATGAAAGAACCAAAGCCACCATTTGATGGGGATGCAAATGATTTACCCCCTTTTTTCTCCTCCTAAGATATCACATTGTTGAAGTCTCCTATAAACATACTTGGCCATGGGCTATTCATGAGTATTTGATTCATTGAGTCCTAGAGAGCAGGCTGAAGTCTTTTGTTTGCTGGAGCATATATGCAAGTAAGCAACCAGCTTGAGTCTGGAGGGTCCGAAGTAATCACAGCTGATATGATGCTCTGGTTTGTAAGCAATACTTCAATCTCAACGCCTTTCCTCCAACGCAAATATATTCCACCAGACAGGCTTTTAGCACTTTGTATCTCAAAGTTGTAGAATCCAAGGGTAAACAAAGTTTTTTTGGTTTTTTCTGAAGAAATTTTAGTTTCTGAAAGGAAGATGAAGTGTGGGTGATACTCCCTTATTTGAGCCTTCAAATGGCGAATTGTCGAGGCATGGCCCAGCCCTCGACAATTCCATATGTATCCTATCATGGTGAGGGTGGGGGCATGGTCAGGCCCGCCTCCTGAGCCATTGAAATGGTTTCCTCTGTAACAAGAACTTAGGTCTCTCCCTGGATAGTTGTGCTAAAATGCGTTGTTTCCTTGATGGTTCTCTGGCATTTGAACTTCCTGTAAGGTTTCCTTTGAAGTTGGTGGGTGGGGTGAGTGGGTGAGTTTTGATGTTTATCAATTCTGACTTGGTCATTGGGTTTATTTGTTTCAGACAGCCGGTGAATATCTGTGGGCAGAGTTATCCCAGCATCAATGGAATGAGGTTTAACTTCAACTGGATTTGGACCCTTTGCTGGTATAGGTAATCTAGCAATTATACCATCATCTCTCCTGTAGAATTTTGGTGGTCGGATATGGATTCCATCTTCGAGAGCATTCCTTTTAAGTGAGAGGCGTGTGAAGATTATGGCCATGCATTCATCAAAAAAGGTACCTAGGTGAGGTTGTAGTGGTGTTTCTTGGCTTATGGTAAGGG